TATCAACAGACATTATGAATTAACTAACGGAATAATGATCCTCCTCCTCCTCTTACTGGAGAAAGAGAGAGAGAGAGAGAGAAAGCAAAATTAAAAGATTATTAATAGATATTGTCCAGTAGGAGAGAGAGTTATGTAAAATACATGTACATGTATATTGATATTATTGGTATATTATAAACTTTGTGATACAATCAAAGATAATTAAAGGAAGGCTTTACCCTCCAAAGGACAGTGAAGGAGAGAGGGAGGGCTGGAGGGAGGAGGTGGTTACTAATTATAATTCATCTTTATCTCAATATTCTTAACCTTTCCTTTATATTCTAGTACAGGGGATTCCTTTACCTCTTATAATAAGTACTGGAGGCCCTCTCTTTCTTTCTCTCTCTGTGTTATTCTTCTATTCGCTCCACTAACTAATCTTGAACCATACTGCTGTCCGACATCTTGAAATATGGAACCTAATAATGACGTCATCAAATTAGTGATGTCACTGACCACGCTCATGCATTGCTAATTACCAGCCCCACCCTAACCTCCTACAAACGCAATGGCTACCAAAAGCAACAGCAGCTCTCCTTCACCTTTTCTCTTCACTTCTCCATTGACTATTAGTAATAATCCATTAACTGTAGTCTGTAGTATATTTATATATTATGTTTTATAGATCAACTTATTGATGTACTTGATCTGTTAAAGAGATGTGGTTTCCCTCAGACAAGATGGCATGAGCTGGGACTGAGACTAGGACTACATAAGAACACACTGGATGCCATTGAAAGGAATCATCCTAGTGATGTATATCGATGTTTGACAGAGTGCCTCTCCCAGTGGTTGTCCAGAGCTGATAATGTTGACAGTAAAGGAGGAGCTACCTTTAACTCACTGTCAGATGCTCTTAAATCTATGAATGAGAATGCTGCAGCTGACAAGTTAGATCAAGAGAGTAAGTTAATATCACTGATTGTATTAGTATTGACTGTGTGTGTGTATTCTACTTATTCTGCTATACTTACATGTAGTCTTAGTGCATGCATGATGACAGTATATTTTGGCTATGAATCTCATGGTTACACTTTTATGTCCATGCAATGAAAATGAGCATTATAGTCTCATCTTTAGTATAGAATAAACCCACTGAGCAGTTCTAGAGTGCAATATATTAGTGAATAAGCCTTCAAAACATGTAATCTTGCCTACTTATAATTAACTTTAGCTGTTGCTCTCCTTCATAGGGTGGGGCTTAGTTTTGCTTGATAAAATTCATTAATATTTTAAGGAATAATGAATACCATACATTATTAGATAAAAAGCAGTAAGTATGACATTTAAAAACAACTACCAGCTGTTGATAATAAGTCCATAGTTAACATGCACACAACATATCTAACAGGCTAGGCAAGGAAAGAATCAATCACGCTTGACAAATGGACTAATAATATTATAATATAGAGCATATGCATAAAGCACGATTTAATTTTAATGAGCTACATGTAGGTTTATAATTTAATGAGCTAGGTTATTATAGGTTACTATTATGTTTTATAGTTCAACTTATTGTACTTGATCTGTTAAAGAGATGTGGTTTCCCTCAGACAAGATGGCATGAGCTGGGACTGAGACTAGGACTAGACAAGTACACACTGGATGTTCTGGAAGCAATTTTTCCTTGTGATATATCTCGATGTTTGACAGAGTGTCTCTCCAAGTGGTTACGTAGAGTTGATAATGTTGACAGTAAAGGAGGAGCTACCTTTGACTCACTGTCAGATGCTCTTAAATCTATGAATGAGAATGCTGCAGCTGACAAGTTAGATCAAGAGAGTAAGTTGATATCACTAATTGTATTACATGTATGTGTGTATGTGTTCAAAATAAAGTGGAATTATTTATGCACCTCTTTGTCAGTCAATGCAATTTAGATTTCCTTGAAGTGCATACACAAAAATAACATTCATGGCTACTGGTGCTTATAGACCTTTTCAAATGTGCATGGTAGCAAGAGTAGCCCCTTATATCTACTTTTGATGGTACTGCCAGATATAAGAGGAAGTGGAGGGCACAGGGCCACCCTGTTGACAAAATTCTAATTAAATCTTGGATGCCTCCCACACCTTCTCTGACTGACTCTTCTGCCCTCTCCATTGACCTGGCACCACTAGGAGTAATAGTTAAGGAAACCTTGATACATCAGTTGTTATGACTCAGTTGATATCCCATTATAGAAACCCTACCTCGGTGCATAAAGTATTGGTGTATAACTATGCAACCCAGTTGCACTTACTGCTCTCCAGCACCTCTCATGAAAGGGAGGGGCTTACTTTTGCTATATAATATAGGCAATATATGAATATAATCTATTCCATACTTAAGTCACAAATATGTAAT